TGTCTAAGTGATCCAAGAAAACCACAGAAAAACTTGGACCAAGGCAGACGGACCCAGAATCGAACCGGCGTCCTCTAGAATGCTACGTAATGGTTTAAACCTCTAGACCATGCCGCTCGGTGGCACTTCATCTTCATTAGAACCTCTACGGCCTGGCAGGATAAGCACCTCCACTGCTTCCTATCTTGAGCTAACCCCCAAATTTTTCAAAAACCAGAGTTAGCTACATCTCTTCTAACAATATCCAATCTGGATCTACCTGTACCTATCCCTCTTTACTCCTGTTTTTGCTCTTAATACGTTTCAGCTTTTTTCGATTGAACCCATGTTTACATTCCCATCTAAACTAAACCTTTTCTATTTTTGAACACTCTGTATAGTAAATAAAAAATCAGACGATCTTGTATTAAAACAGGTTTTTGTTTGAAAAATTTTCGATTTATTTTTTGACCACAATGGTACTTTTTGGACGACCCTGTAGTTGTAAATAATCAAATGGATAGACACAAAAATAAACTGAAAATATGTGTTAAACGCCAAGATTGAAAGATAAACTTTTTAAAAAGGAATTTATTTTCAACACGGCACGTACACAATATACTATAGATGAGTAGTTTTGTATATTGAACACTGAGCTTCAGATTGAACACCACGGAATTTCACTTTGTCCCTCAACTTATAAAAATATGACCTCTACAAAGTTTGCAAGTACTTCTACATGACGGTTTACGCAACTGGCGGTTGGTAGCGGCGGGTACATTTCTGTATGCAAGCCGGGAAAGTACCAACCGCTTCTCACAGTCCTCATCACGATCAATCTGTTTGAGACATGTTGAGTAATTTTTTTTTTACAATTTTTTCTTCATATTTAATTCGGTTACTTATTCCGTTGCATGTAACTCAAATTTCATTCGGATATCATTCATATTTCAGCAGATTTCATTGGACATCGTGCGGAGTACATTAAATTTTTTACGGATTTCATTTAGATTATATCGGATTTCATCAAGATTTCCTCCGATTTAAATTGAATTTTAAATAGTATCATTTTAATAAATGACACTTGGATTTCATTTGGACTTCATACTAGATATTCTAGAGATTTCATTAGTCAATAATTTCAATTAGAATTTCGACCCATAATGTATCCAAAAAATACTTTTACAATTAAGTTAGTTAGCACCACTTATCCATTCCCACAACTTCTAAAAGGAGGATGAAAGGGATCTACCGCCCTAACCCCTCGTTTTTCAGTAAAGCATACGCCAGAGGACTGCTCGCCCACCACAATTAGGAACGATTGTGAATGAAACACGTGAAAATGTTTTCTTTATCTAAACCATCGGGCGGCATGTGGTAAGTGTTAGTTCGACCTTTTCGAACATTTTTGAATCCCACTAAAACGTGGTAATTTAAATTTACTACAGAATGCGTTCACTACGCCGTCTGTAGTAATTAGTAAGTTGTTATATACGTTCGAAAATTTGCTTCTCCTTTAGTTCGTAAAAGTGTAGCATAGTATTGCCTATAGAAGAGTACAGTCAATTCACTATCATCAACATCATCATCTTCATCAACATCATTATAGGATAATCAGTCCTAAGAGTGGTTGAACTGCAGCGTCATCATAAGGTTATCAGTTCTAAGACATCCACCTCCACTCTTTCCTATTCTGAGCTAATCTTCGCATTTTATTTAAACTAGAATATCCCACATCCTTAAGTATTTGTAAACAGTAATCTAATGTAGGTCTACCTCTACTCCTGTTGCCTTCTGCTTCTGCATCTAATAGGTTTCCAACTAGCCCTTCTATGCCTAAGAAGGTGGCCTACCAACCTATCTTGCTTACTTATTGACTTCCATAGTGCCCTCTGTTCTCCTACTTTTTTTAATACCTTCTCATTTCTATCCTTCTCTAACCACAACAGTAATACTACATTTTGAAAGCTTCTAGCCTTTTCCTTTACCGGCGGCCGCCATTCACGTTTAGTATCCATACAGGGCAGTGCTTCAAACATACACCTTTAACAATTTTTCTTTTGAATTGATAAATTAACAGTTCGCGGGTATAGAAGTGATGTGTGTCTGTTTTAAGGCGACTCGGCCTTGCGCTACCCTTTGCTTTATATCTCTACTGCTCCTTCCATCTTGAATTCTGACTTCTCAGATGCCGAAAATGAGCTACATCTTCCAGTTTTTCTTCCCCTACCTTTATATTCACTCTTTTCGTATTCTTTCTTCCCTTGTATACCAATATTTTTGTTTTACTTTTATTGATTTTCATACAATTTATTTTTATCTGCAAATCCAAGTATGCTAATCTTTTGTCCCTGTATCCTGTATATTTATCCGTAACGTGGTCCTGTCTTTGATTATGTTTATCGCGTCATCGATATATGTATAGATTAAAAATTAGGGGTGGCAGTGTACATCCCTGTCTGACTCCCTAATGTTCTTATTCAGTATCTAATAAATTAATCTTATATGTTATTTGTTACTGTTATTAAATAGGAACGAGCTTGTTACAGTTTGTATTATTTCGGAATTCACTTTATTTTGCAAAGTGCTTAGTACTTTTATATTTATTTTCCACGCAAAAATTATGCCGATCCGCCATGAATTATTATAAAATACTGATTTAATACGTCGACTGACGTTACTAAATATAAGAAAGAATTATTAGGTAATTAGAAATATCCATTTTAAGTAGAATGTAATTAATTATCGAGGAGGAGGAGTCGGTCGCGTGGCTGAAAGATTCAGATGCGTGCAGTCAGTTTGCACCATTAAAAAGCTTTTGACCGAATTGTGGTTGTCGTTTGGTGTAAACAATGGATGTTAATATTCTTTACGACGCACCAGAGACGACAGTCGCCGAGCCTGTTATTTTTATCTAATATTTAATTAGCACGAACAGCGTGTTTTGAATACCTCAGCGGTGTACTCATGCTCTGATATAAATTACTAATCAACGGCAAAAGTAACATTACATGTTACGCAATGCGAACGTTGTACCCATTCATACAATTAGCAGTATAGGAAACATTCTTGATTTCCACAGGTCTATTCAGTGATATACACAATATGGTATACAGCTTCTCCACTGCCATTTCGTATTTTACGGCCGCCATTGTAGTTTTATAAAAATAAACCTATAACCATCGTCAAATAAAATAATTAAGTGATCTGTATTCTGTCGAAACTGCCAGACGCGGATCGCGATTTCGATCTTGTTGGATTTTATCAGCGCGTCGCAAACAGTTTCGACAGAACACAGACCAATTTCACCTGCTCTCTTAACAGCGCGTTTTATAAAATATCACAAATGGCGAGGTAAACGCCATCTGTAGTACAATGATACATTGCAGGATTACGATGAATCCAGGCGTATCGCGCCACTACGTGATAAGCACGTTACCATAATCGAATAACCACTCCGAATTATTTTATTCGATTATGGTAACGTGCCTATCACGTAGTGGCGAGCTACGTCGGGATCCGTCGTAATCCTGAAATGCAGCATTGTACTATAGATGTCGTTTACCGCGCCATTGGTGGTATTCTATAACCATCGCATAATTTATATGATTGGACACACCCTCATTGACTAAAATTCATTCCGCTCTTGGAATGCTGCAAAGGTATAAAGAATTCCACATCACCCTGCTTTTTCTGTTGTGCATTCAAATATTACAAATATAATTATATTTTTACAAAAAAGTTAGTAAATTCTACCAATCAAAATGTGCTAAAGATTAATAACACATAGCACACACAACTGACAGGCGAAACATCAGTATTGCTTTTACATCAATAAAATTATTTGCAACCCTATTTTAGTTCTGATACTAATGAAATATTAAAAGTTAAACCATATCGATTATTGATCTACTACATATCGATATCTATACTTTGGTTAAATCAAAATAAGAAATCGTGCATGGCCTAGAGCCTAGAGGTTTGATTCCGGGTCCTTCTGCCCTGATCCGGGTTATTCTGTGGTGTCCTTGGATCACTTAGGCAAATTCTAGGACAATAATATTCCATCCTTCACTCTCTTCTGTCTTCAAATCATTCATTTTTCTTACTCCAACCCCCCCATGCCCGTTATTCCTGAAAGGAAGTTGAAGAGGGCCTTCCGCCCTACTCTCCGACATAATCAGAACTGCCCGTTCACCGGCATTAGTAGCTGGTTTGAATGAAACACCCGAAAGTTTTTTTTGAAGGGAAACTTCTTTATCGACGGTAAGAAGGAAATTTACTAGGGTATAAAACCGAAGAGTGAAAAGTGTAATGTCACGCGCCACGTGTGATCTCTAGTGGACATGTCCAAAAGGAGTCATTTTAACAGGTTTCAGAAGCCAACATGTTAGTAGCAACCGATAATCCGAAAATTGTCATTTCGACAAATTGTCAGCAGATCGCGCCTACGCTGTGCTGTATATGTAGTGCATATGCGTCTGTGTTTGTTTGTTTTGATTTATAATTTCTCTTTGCAGTTTTGTATGGAGCAAGCGTAAAAGTTTTTAACAAAACTAAACCAATATTCCGCATTCGTCTGCCCAAAATAGAGTTGTATTTTTCTGGTGTTTAGTAGGTGGTTAATGCGATAGTTTAATTAAAAAATACTATTATAATATACAATCTGAAGAATGTTCATTTCTTGCGGGTATACACGCGCGCCCCCTTTTCAAGGTAAGAAGACTTTTTAATTTTATCAAACATCAACAATATTTATACATATCTTTTAGCAGTAACACTGGCACATAGTTGATATCATTAGAGTTTTGTTATTAAATTTTTAAGTGAAAAACCAGCATAACTTTTACATTTTACAAAAAATTAACTTCATATATATACCCACTTGTACATAAGTTACACTTTCAAAAAATAGAGATGTTGAACGGTTTGGGTTCGTTAAAACAGTTAAAATAATTATATCTAAAATTTTAATATGGATAACGTGCTATGTTTATTAAAAAGTGTGGTAAAAAACTTACATGGCACCGACGTATAAAGCATCTCGTTGGCTATCGATGTGGAAAGTACGGTAATACATTTTTCCGCAGGTGAAGTCCCGAACATGCTCTGAAAAGAAAGACACACTAGGTTTAAGTACAAGTGCGTATCAAAATATAAAACAATGATAATAGAATTAAATATGTGATAAATAATCAAAAATTTAAATCTATACATCGAAGACGCGATCAACATCATCAAAGACAGTACAACTGTAGGGATAGATATAGAGGGGCAAAAAATTAATATGCTTAGATTTGCAGATGACATAGCAGTATTAGCATCTAGCAGAGAGGACTTAGAGATAGCTTTAAATAAAATGGAAGCGGTACTGACGAAACAGTACTGTATGAAAATAAATAAAAGTGAAACTAAACTACTGGTATGGAAGTGAAGAAAACGTAGGGAAAGAGAGAATATAAAGATAGGAGACGAAACATTAGAAGTGGCTGATTTTAGGTATCTAGGAAGTTAGATAAGTCAGGACGGAAGGAGTAGTAGGGATATAAAGCAGAGGATAGCGCAGGGTCGTGTTGCCTTTAATAAAAAGAAGTCACTTCTATGCTCGTGAACGGTTAATTTAGAAATTCGAAAAAGGTTGTTAAAGGTTGAAGCTCGGCGTTGTACGGGTGCGAAACATGGGCAGTGGACGCGGCGGAAAAGAAAAGGTTAGAAGCGTTCGAAATGTGGTGTTATAGGCGAATTATGAGGATACCCTGGGTAGAGAAGATTAGAAATGAAGCGATATTAAAAAGAATAGGAGAACAGAGGAGTCTATGGAAGTCAATAAGAAATAGGCGAAATAGGTTGATAGGACACCTTCTCAGGCATGAAGGTCTAGAGGTAGACCTAGATTAGAATACTGTTTGCAAATAGTTAAGGATGTGGGTTGTTCTAGTTTTATGGAAATGCGAAGATTAGCTCAGAATAGGAAAGAGTGTAGGTACGTGTCCAACCAGTCTTGGGACTAATGACTTTATGATGATGATGAAGTAATGAAAAGGTTTATACTTGGTCAGAAGTATATTGCAACTAGCAGGATCACGATTACGAGCTGATTAGTTCTCGTCGACACGTGATAGACAATTGCGATGCTAAGAGTGGACGTTCAATGTCTGAAAAGTCTTTACGAAACATAATTGCAATTTAGTTGGTGATTTATCGAAACCACACATTGCGGGCTGTTGCGAACTAATAAGTCTGAAATGTTCACTCACATCTGATATTTGCGATTATTATTCATTAATTAATTAATTATTGGTCAAAAACAATGTTCTTTAATAAACTTACTCAAATGTTATCTAAATAAAAGTGTGCTCGCTCACGCTTGATTTCATTTTAGAGAAAAAGTTCGAATAATAGCAGATCGATACCGTAAATGCAAGTTGATATAATACCTAGTAAGGCTCATGTCCAAAGTTTCAAATACTACAGTTGGGAGTAAAATGTCAGTAGATGACAATATACTCCCAGTAACGTGAGGTTCCATCTCTGTTTTTTTCCACCGCTCTGCCGTATTTGCGAATACTTATGTTAAATGTACGAGTGCTCAAAAATAACATATTAAGTGATCTTTTATATAAATTGAATAAGAATTATAAATATTAATTTGAAAATTCATTCTCAATTTATTTTCCAATGTATTTTCCACTTAAATTAACTGGAATTTTTTTTTGCTGCTGCTGTCACTCTTTCTTAAGTTTTTATTTTTTCATTCAGGTTTAGTTTTTTTTAGTAGTTTGTATTATTCATACCAGGGATTGGAGATTACGATAGTTAATTATGAACAAGGAACATATTAGAATCAAAATAAACTATTCCCAACAGAAATATGAAAGCATTAAACTTTTAAAATCAAACACCTGATCTCAGCACATTAAGCTGAAAAACTGCAAAACAATAATGTGATCAAAAAAGCAAAGTCAAATCAGAAGTGATGTTCTTGAAAAATTATCTGATGCTAATCTCAAACGTATTGAAGAGGTAGTGATACAAAGACTCAGGATTGGCCATACTAATCTAGTTTCATCTAATGAAAAACGAGCTGCCCTCGTTATGCACAAAATGTAACATTGACACCCTTCAAACAGTAGAATATATCATTATCAACTGCCCAGGTTTGAGTACTCAAAGAAGACAATTTAACTTCTCGTGGTTAAGTGAAAATTTAAATAAACCAGAACTGTACAAAAAAGTGTTAAAATATTTACAAGCAATCAGACTGTATGATAGCATATAACATTAGATTAAATGGTATTATTAAAATTATTAAATGTTAAGAGTTATAAAATAATTAATTTTACAAGCAATAACACTATGTAACTAAAAAACCAATGTATAGTCGCTCATGACCTTGTTGTTAATGCGACTTAAAATAAATAAAAAAAATTTGGTTGTCTGTAAAGTCGGTTTACTGACGATAGTTGAACGTGACAACGTCATAAGAAAATACTGATGGAATGGTTTCATTTTTCAAAACAAAATTTTAATTTTATTTGTTTGATAGATATTTTGTATGGATATAGAGAAGGAGGTAAATGGAAAAGTATTATTGTATAGCAGCTGTCCACGCGGACGCATCGCTCATTCAAGTAGGAGAGAGACAGATGTCGAACGCTGCCGAACGCGGAGACCGATTGTGCCTCTCTGTCGCTCGTTCCGCGCTCTCGCTTGCACTTCAAGCCTTAAATGGAACGCCTCAGAGCGAGGTAACGCCGCATGGGTCATGTTTTTTCGTGCGTGCAGCCGGCTCCATCGAATTATAAGACGTTGTCATGTCAAAAACAAATAATATGATCAGTCCTAGTGAACTAATTTTTGAACTGTTTTACCCACTATAGATAATCTCAAATTGATGAGGGAAAATTGTCCGGGTCTTTGACAAAAGAATGACAGCAACAACAATTTTTTCCTCATTAAGTTGAGGCTATCTTTGGAGGATAAAATTAATTCAGTAATACATTGAATTAAACCCTACCAAAAATACAAAGTGTCCCACGGCCACTCCTTCTTTATGAAGCTGAAACTTGGATGTTAAAAAGGCGCACAAAGAGATAGTTAATCACTTCCAAGAACAAAATTAGGTAAATGAAAAAATTTTGGATTAACTTAAAAAGAAGACATGTAGATGATGAAGTACAATCTAGAAATCAAGAAACTTTTCAATTAGATAGACACGGTGACTGAAGCTATAAACAGAAGACTAGGCTTAGATGGACTGGTTTCATCAGAAGGAAAAAGTCGAGCAGCTTATACAAAATAAGAGCGGAGAACACGATGTTCACGAGGTAGAAAGAAAAATTGCTAGAATGATCAAGTTAAGACAGACATGGCTACTGTAAAAATCACAGAAAAGCATGCGAAAGACTGCTTGCAAGTCAATATTTTTAAAGTAAATATACAATTGAAGAAGTACTAGTCGACGGCGAAACGCTAAATTGTTACCAAAAATTAGTTTTTTGCTTTAATTACTCCGAAATTGTATTCTACTTCTCAACATTTAAATATCAAAGATAGAATGGAAGTTATTTACAATTTATATTTCAAGTCCGGTCTTTTAGTTTATGACGTCTTCGTTCTGCCAGTCCACAAATATGATTGCATTCAAGTGTTTTGTTGAGTGGTGAGTTTATTTATTGTAAATGATACATCACCAAGCGATAAAGATAAATCTATTCTATTCTAAGTGGCGACTATGCTATCTAAATCTTATCTATTATTTCTTACTGAGTTTCCAAATTCCAAAATTGGAATCAGTAAAACTTAATAATGACATACATGTGCACCTTCAATAAGAACCTTCCTACCTAGAAGGCTTTAGCGCCATATATTTGTCAAAATATTATTAATTGTTTCCAAAGAATGATTACCTGTGTGACATATATACATAGGCAGTATTCAATCAACTAAATCAAGTCACTTGACAAGATGATAAGACTGGAATTAACACGAACCTTTTAAGTACTCTGTTTGTAACTCCTTGGATAATAATAAGTAGTATTTGTGGAAGGTATGTGTAATATAGAATCTGCTAATTAGTTAGGTTTACGATTTTGAAATAACAGTTCAACTAATCGGTAGTTATGTTGTGTAAAATATCAGTGTTTGTGGTGTTTATTGCGGCATTATCGCTAACGGATTCGGCAAAAATTTTAGGATACTTCTTATATCCATCCTACAGTCACCAGATAGTTTATCAAAAGATATGGTTAGAGTTGGCCAGACGAGGCCACGACGTTACCGTCTTTACTCCAAATCCGACAAAAAGCAGAGAGTTTCAAAACTTAAAGGAAGTTGATTTGAGTGATTCGTATAAAGTTTTAGAGGAACATCACGAACTTATTTCGGATTACGATGACGTTGACTATGTTGAAGATACGATAAGACTAACAAAGTTATGCAAATTAGTTTTGGAACAACAACTAACACATCCAGATGTACAAAATCTTATTCATAATAATACCGAGCAATATGATCTTTTGGTTGTGGAATTTGTATATCCAATTATTTTTGGATTGAAAGAAGTTGTGAAAGCACCAATGGTGGGAATTCTCACATTCGAACCATCCCTATCTTGGCATGACTATATGAGAAGCCCTACTCACCCAATAGCAACCCCAAATTCATTTCTTCCCATGTATAAGAATTTAACATTTCTTGAACGATTATACAGTGTGTATCATTCGGTGCACTATCGAGTATCCTTGGTATTTAGAGTGGGCTTTCCTATGAGAGGACTTCTGTATCAAATATTTAATACTACAAAGAATACTTTTGAACTGGCTGCGGAAACAAGTATTGTGTTTGTAAATACACCAATTTTGGGACTTCCCAGACCAACAGTTCCTCAAATGATTACGTATTCTGGATTACATTTGAAAGGACCAAATGAATTATCCCAATTACCTAAGGAAAGTATTCTTTTAACAAATTGAGCTCATCCAAATTTGGACATATACCAATCAGGAAGACTTTCCGACCGTACAATTCTGGTACAAAGCGATTATTCTTGGTACACAGCATTTTCTACCTAAAATATTATACCACAAATGAACCGTATAATTATCAACCTAATATTTTTAATCAATCTAAATCAGTGTAATTGCTTATTGTTAACCTGAAAATATCGATAGGCTTTAAACATAGTCCATCGAATTGCATCACTTCCACAGTCTATCTAATAATCGACTATTGATATTTTAAAAATCGCCAGTACGTCAATGTTCGTGATTTTTAATTAAAAATTGCTATTGAACGACAGCATTCTCGATATTGGTTACTTCCATCCTTTAAACAGAACAGAATTAAAATTGAATTGATAATCTCCTTCACGGTCAATTTTTTATTCATATTCATACATTCAGGAATTTTTATTTTCCGGATTTTCTGCTGGCTCCTGATTAATACAGTGATATGTTCATGTCAGTAATATTAATCTTTTTTCTCGTAATCTTTTATGTTTGGACGCATTTCGTTGAATCCGCTTTCGGATGTATTTAATTTATTGTTCAAGCAGCACATACTGGGATGGGCGGCTAACCAAATCGCACTTTGCACAACCATTGTCTTTTTTCATAAAATGCTTCATCGCCTTCAAAATAAATCTTCCATGCATATTTCTATTGCTTTTTCGCGAAATTTCCAACCACTGATGTTGCTATGCATGTTACATTTAATATGATATGGAGAGTACGCCACATTTGCTATGTTCCATCAGTTCTATCAGCGACACTAATATGGGAACACGGGAACTTCTAGTTTCGATATTTACTGTATCCATTAATTACGCGAGCTTTTTTTCGGTCATTTTAGACTCCTTCCCACCTTAGGTGAGATTTAGTGAGATTTGTCAGGACCCCCGCTCCCCTTACGTGAGATTGACGCTAAAAATATTTTAAACATAATTTATTTTTATTATTCGGGAAAATAATAAATCGTTCAGGTATACTATATTCAAAGTAAAAACAGATTACAACAACACTTTTTTTTTAATTTTTACTCAATCCATGGAGACTCGTGTGCTTTTTCGATCGAAATAATTGGACACATGTCATCTGGGATTTCTGGTAGTGCAGGAAGACAGTGACTGGAAGCCTCTACGTTTTCTTCATCTGTCCACTTCAAACT